GGGGTCAGAGTAGGGTACGAGACGACAAAATGGGGCTGAGGGGCTGGGGAAGGGACACGTGGATAGGACGGGGAACAGGAAGACAAGAGAGGGGATTAGGGGAGAGAGGGACAAGAAGACAGGGTGACATGAGGGTCCTTTTCCAGGGGCAGGACATTGCGCAGGGTGGTGTAGTCTGGGGCTGGCCCAGCTGGAGGTGCCTCTTCTCTGTCCACAAGGTCACCTGGAGTCCTGGGGAGGGCGGCGCTGGCCAAGTGTGGCAGACTCTGCAATGATGGAGAGCCAGCTGCCCTCCCAGTTAGACCTGAGCCATCTCCCTGCCCTGGTCTGCGGTGAAAAACGACCCCCAGCACCCTGTTCATCACATCGTTGTCAGAGCCCGGGGGTGGGCCCTGAGCCTGCCCATTGGGGTCTTCATTTGTTATATTCGCCACACAGACTCAGGGCTGCTGGTACCTGCAGGGCCCATCCGCGTGCCCGAGGAGAGCTGGCAGGCCTGCCGCTCTCCCACACTGGACAGGTACGATGCTGTCTATCCTCCGTCCCCAGTCCTGGGAAGTGGCTTCCACGGTGGCCACAGGGCCTGCATGTGCACAAAGCCACCCAGGAGTGGCAAGCGAGGAGGTGTGGGGAGGTGCTCCTTGGAGTCTCCGAGGTGTAGGCTGAAGCCGTTCCTCATAAACTGCGGCATTGCCAGTCACCCTGAGCCGCAGCGTCCTGAGCCTCAAGGACGTCTGTTCTGCCCACAGATCCGCACCTGGGGAGGGCTCCTCAGGCACCGTTGGCCTCTGCTCCTCTTGGTGTCACTGGGGTGGCCCAGAGTCCTCCTCACTCACTGCCAGTGGCTTGCGCTGGTTGGGCTGAGATACTGCGGGCCTGAGACCAGAATCCCTGCACAGGGCCTTGCCAGCACTGGGCGTCCTCAGCTTGGAGGACAAGTACCCTGAGACAGTGGGAGCCGAGGTGAGCGGCCTGTATGGCATGGCTTCCGAAGTCGCCCAGCCCGAGGGCTGCCTCGTTCATTCTTTAGACTTGAAGATCATCACTAAAGCCAGCTGATACCCGGGTGGGGCGGGGTGGGGAGTTCCACTCCACCTGTTGACGGGAGAGACATCAAAGACCATGGACTTGGCGCTACTTGCTGTGGCCGAATCAAAGGCAAGCTCCTCGTGCGAGACGCCACCCTCGTTCAGAGCTGGGGTGCTGGCCGCCCTCTCAGCTGGAGAACCTCCCACTGACACCTGCCAAGCCCATCCTGTGGGCGCTGAACTATGCCTCCCCATGGCTTGTCCTAGACTGGCCCCTCACTTCTGCTTTCCCAGGAAGGGGTCTTGTTGCTCAGAGGGGCTAAGGGCGCTCTAATGACAGAGTGGCGTGTCTCTGCCCCCACCTGCCCTTCCACCTACGATCCCCTGCGCACCCCCTCAGCTCGGGTATGAGGGGCACCAGCCTCGCATCCGAACTCTGAATCCGCCAAGGCTTCTGCCGTCTCCTCTTTTACTTTCCCCTTTGCGCTTCTTGGACAGATGCCCCCATCTGTGCCTGGACTAGGGTTAGACGCTTTTTTTTTTTTTTTGAGAGGTTTTTGTTATAGGGCATGTGCACTCGCCAGAAAGACAGAGACCGGGCAGGGG